GAAATGACAGTCTATTTAACAAATGGTGCTGGCAAAACTGGATGTCCATCTGCAAAAAAATGAAACAGGACCCATACCTCACACCATATACAAAAACTAATTCAAAATGGATCAAAGACCTATATATAAAGCCAAAAACTATAAAGTTCATAGAAGGAAAAATAGCATCAGTGCTAGAGGCTCTAATACATGGCATTAACAGGATACAAGGCATAACAAGCAACACACAAACTCCAGAAGATAAGGTAGATAACTGGGATCTTCTAAAAATTAAACACTTACACTCATCAAAAGACTTCACCAAAATAGTATAAAGAGAACCTACAGACTGGGAAAAAATTTCTGGACATTACAAGTCAGACAAAGGTCTAATCCCTAAAATCTACAAGCAAGTCCAACACTTCTACAACAAAAACACAAATAATTCAATTAAAAAATGGGCAAAGGAAATGAACAGTCACTTCACCAAAGAAGACATTCAAGCAGTCAACAGACACATGAGGAAATGCTGCAAATTAAAACCACAATGAGACAGCATCTTACTCCGGCATTACTGGCATGAATTAAAAAAACCAGAAATAACAAATGCTGGAGAGGCTGTGGGGAGATAGGAACTCTTATGCGCTGCTGGTGGGAATGCAAAATGATACAACCATTTTGGAAAATGACATGGCGCTTGCTTAGAAAGCTAGAAATAGAAATGCCATACGATCCAGCAATCCCACTCCTAGGAATATATCCTAGTGAAATAAGAACCATCACATAAATAGACACATGCACACCCACGTTTACTGCAGCATTGTTCACAATAGTAAAAAGAAACAACCTAGATGCCCATCAACAAATGAATGGATAAACAAACTGTGGTACATACACACAATGGAGTACTACGCAACGATAAAGAACAATGATGAATGTGTGAAGCATCTCATAACATGGATGAAACTGGAGAACATTATTCTGACTGAAGTAAGTCAATCACAAAAGGACAAATATTGTATGAGACCTCTACTGTAAAAACTCATGAAAAAGATTACACACAAAAAGAAACAATCTTTATTGTGGTTACCAGGGATGGGAGCGGTGGGGGGGAGAAATACTAAAGAGACAATAGATAAGTGGTAATTTTGGTGAAGGGTAACAGTAAACGATATTGAGGAAACCAGCACAACCTGTACAAAGAAAGGTCATGGAAGCTCCACAGGCACATCCAAACTCCCTGAGGGACTGAATTGCTGGGCAGAGGGCTGTGGGGACCATGGTCTCAGGAAATGTCTAGCTCAATTGGCATAACACAGTTTTTAAAAAAAAAAAAAAAAAAAGTTCTACATTCTACCTTGGTGAGTAGCATCTGGGGTCTTAAAAGCCTGTGAGCAGTCATCTAAGATACTCCACTGGTCTCACCCCTTTGGGAGTAAAGGAGAATGAGGAAAGATACAAAGGAAAGATCAGTCCAAAGGACTAATGGACCGCAACTACCAGAGCCTCCACCAGACTGAGTCCAGTACAGCTAGGTGGTGCCCTGCTACCACCACTGACTGCTCTGACAGGGATCACAAGAGAGGGTTCTGGACAGAGCTGGAGAAAAATGTAGAACAAAATTCTAATTCACAAAAGAAGACCAGACTTACTGGCTTGATAGAGACTGGACAAACCCTGAGAGTATGGCCCCCGGACACCCTTTTAGCTCAGTAATGAAGTCACTCCTGAGGTTCACTGTTCAGCCAAAGATTAGACAGCCTCATGAAACAAAATGAGACTAATGGGGCATAACAGTCCAGGGACAAGGACCAGAAGGCAGGAGGGGACAAGAAAGTCAGTCACAGGAAACTCAAGGTTGAGAAGGGACAGTGATGTCATGTTGTGGGGTTGTTAACCATTGTCATAAAACAATGTGTGTACTGTTTAATGAGAAACTATTCTGTAAACCTTCATCTAAAGTACATTAAAAAACTTAAAAGAAAATCTTAGAGACCACAATAAAAAAATAAATAAACAATAGTTTACCTTAAGTAATACAGAATGCCTCCCTTGAGCATCATGCTCTTTTAAGATCTATCTATGTAGGAGCAAAGTGACAACAGCAACTTGAAAGGACAGGAACCTAAGTAGGCAGTGAGTTTATGTTAATGGAGGAGGAATAACTCAGAAAAGGAAGGTGAGAATGGCTGCACAACTGGAACAGTGTAATCAATGTCACAGAACTGTACATGTAGAAACCTTAATTGGTGTATGTTTTTGCTGTGTACATTCTCAAAAACAAATAAAATATTTAAAAAAAAAAAAAGAAGAAGAAAACGCAGGAAGCCCCTCAGATGTGTCTTCCTTGAAATCCACTCATCTGTATAACGATGTGACTGGACAATCATCCCGTCAGAGCTGCATAAACAAGGTGCCAGAAGTCTTCTCTAGGCAGGATCTATAACCCAGGTGAGCAGTTATTTATTTGTTCCTTTGGCCTAGGGCTGTTGTTTTCAGGTGATCTGATCAGTAAAATTTCAAAACTATAGGTTTGCCAACTTTTTATCAGGTAAAGACATTAAGCTACCATAATGATTTAAAAAACTCAGGTCTTTTTAGCACTAAATAAAGATGGACATAATCTCATCTTAAAGACAGTTGGCAAATTTATACCTGTGTAGATAAAAATATACAGAGTACCATGAACAGGTAGTCCCTGACTTATGATGTGTTCGAGTTAAGGATGAACCTGACGACCAGCTGTTTTTTTTTTTTCGTGTGTGTGGCTTATCGTTAGTAATATGTACTACATATAATGTTGCAGAGCATAATTTGCTGACGTTCTCATTTTCAGGTGTTCACTTGCAGACGTTCAAACATTGGATTTATAAAGATACTGATAATAAAAGGCAACAGTAATGAAAACTAAAAAAAAAAAAAAAGGACAAATAGGTATCCGAGTTACATCAGAACTGACTTAGGATGGAGTTATCGGAATGGTGCCCTGTCATAAGGTGGGGACTACCTCTATACATATTACATAGTTACACTAACCCGTTGCTGTTGAATTCAATTTTGACTCATAGTGACCCTATAGGACAGAGCAGAACTGCCCCATAGAGTTTCCAAGGACTGTCTGGTGGATTCGAAGTGCCAGCCTTTTGGTTAGCAGCCGTGGCTCTTAACCACTACACCACCAAGGTTTCCAAGAGTTATACTACAAAGTCTTCATTTTTCCTCATTGATATGTACTGGTGAATATTTGTCAAAATCTAGTAAGAATCAGAATTCGGAAATCTGAGTAAGTAGTAGCTTACACTGGTTGAGCCAGGAGGACTTAGAAATTCCCAGCAGAAAACTGCAGCATGGCAAAGCACTCTTGGGCAAGGGCTTTCTAAGAGCCCAGGTGGACAACTGCCCAGTGGACAACTGCATAGGGTAACCACAATGGATGTCCACGTGCCTCTATCATTGTACTCATAATTTTCTATGTCCCCATACCTATGGGCTATTACTAGCCGTATCTTTTCATTTGTTGACCAATATCTCAATAGACTGGCACAGCATCTTCATTCTGTGAAGACTCTCCTGACTTTCCCTGATGGCCAAGCTCCTTGTACATAACCTCTACACGCACTTAATTCATTGCCATCACGATCCGATTACAGACCTATCTTTTTCTATGGGTTGCAGTCACAAAAGTACAGAGAACACGCTCTTCTTATCTTTGTTTCTTCATTCCTTTGTCCCGAATCTAGTATATAAAACTACCACACCACACAAACTTTTCCAAAAAATAAGTAAAAGTAATACTTTGTTACCAAGGCTACAGAATGTCCAAACCTATAATCAACATCATCATTTAACATTATATATATTCATGGTCTTAAATGCATAGAATTAGCTTACCTGGCAACTCTTTTGGACCATCCCAACTGATTTGCACGAACTGCAACTTCTTGCTTAAGATGTCTGGCAATATTTTTTATTTCTGGCTGCAAATTTTCCACCTAGCTAAAGAAAAAGTAGAATTTATTATGAGCACATAAAAAATTTTTATTACTACCTACTCAGAGTTTTACTCTTTATTGTCTCAACTCATTTAAAAATGTGGTTTACTGATCATATCAAGAAACCTTAAATCTAAGCATGTTAATTTGCTTACGATATTCTTAGTTACAACAAAATTCAAATCCAGCTTGTACACTTAGCTGCATGCTCCCAAGCAAGTTACTTAATCTCTAAAATCTGTTCCCTCACATATAAAATGTATAACAGCATCTTCTTCACAGAGGTATTGTAAGGATTAAATGAGAATTACACTCTGGGATTTACTGTTTCATCCCTAGATTTCTCAGTAAACTGAGTAAACAGTAGTCTATTAATTGTCTTTAATACTCCTTAGAAGTGAGGATGGCAAGACTTCATCTCACGTACTTGGACATGTTACCAGGAGGAGGAGGTACCAGTCCCTGGAGAAGGACATCATGCTTGGTAAAGCAGCGTGCCAGCAAAAAAGAGGAAGACCTTCAAGGAGATGAAATGACAGTGGCTGCAACAATGGGCTCAAGAACAATTATGAGGATGGTGCAGGACAGGATAGTGTTTCATTCTGTTGTACACAGGGTTGCTACAATTTGGAACCGACTTGAAAGCACCTACTAACAACAACGATACACTGTGGAGAGGACAGTAGTCGTTCAGTGATAGAATTCTCCTATGCAGGAGACCAGGGTTCAATTCCTGGCCAATGCACCTGAAGTGGAGCAAGCACTCTTCTATCAGTGGAGGCCTGTGTATTGCTATGATGCTGAGCGAGGAGTCCCTGGGTGGTGTAAACAGTTAAATGCTCAACTACTAGCTGAAAGGTTGGCAGTTCGAACTCACCCAGTAGTGTCTCCGAAGACAGGTCTTAAAGGTCACAGCCTTAAAAACCCTACGGAGCAGTCTACTCTGCACATGTGGGGTTACCATGAGTCAGAACTGACTCTACAGCAATAAACAACTTGATGTTGAACATGTTTCAGTGGAGCTTCCAGACTAAGACAGACTTACAAAGGAAGGCTTGGTGATCTCCATCTGAAAAACTGCCAATGGAAACCCTATGGGTCATGACAGTTGATCCCATTGTGCATAAGTCGATCTCATGGGGAAACTCAACGGTAGCTAAAAATAAGCTGTGTGAGAGACACAAATTCAGAAATAAAATTGCCTTTATTTCTGATCTGTTAATTTTGTTTTCCATAAAATAGTCCCCTGACATAATGGTATTGATGGTTCTCTTCCTGTTTTGTTTCCAGTTTTTTTCCCCAATGATAATCTTAAAACATGAAAGCCTTTATTTCTGAAGTCTCACCTATGAATAATGCTTTCTTGTTTTCAAAGCACTTTAACCTATACTCTCAGATTTGATATCACAATATTGTGAAGTAGGCACCTCTTTTCTACAAGAAAAAAAAGAAAACGAAACACTAAAAGGTCAAGTGATTGTGAATAACCAGACAGGCTTGTCAGTGGTGGTCGAGCCTAGCTGAGGAACCAAGTTTGCAAATTGCTACCTCTGTAGTTGTTTTCTAGTAAGAATCATTAGTTGGGATACTTGGAAATGAAAGATACTGCAGACATACAGGTTTTCACGAAGGTAATTTTACAGGTCTATACAACTTCTGCTATTGATTCCTTTCTCTCATTCTGTAGAGCAAGTTTAGTAACCACTTACTGTTTAGTAAACGAAATGACAGGTACATGTGTCACTAAACATCCTTACTTAATACACTCAACGCTAGTTAAATTTCTTAGCGATTAAGACGTCAAGACGAAAACTAAGCACTTCCGAAGTATCCGGGAAAAGCACGAGCCGGATACAGGCCAGCCTCGCCCCCAACAGCGGGAGTGGTGGCGTAAGGTCTACGCGCGGCTCGGTGCCCCTCACCTTGGCTAGGATGTGGTGCTGGTAGACGGCCAGCGGCAGCGTGACGGCGCCACGCATGGCCACGGTGGTGAGGAGAATGCTGCCCCACCAAGGAAGACCCGTGGCGGCGTGGGCGCTGAGTAACACTTCCTCCGCGCCTCGCACCGGCGCGGACGCAGCCAGGGCCTCGTACCAGCCGCTGGTGCCACCCGGTGCAACCGGAGAGACTGATGCCACCGCCCACGCTGGGAGAGCAGGGCGCTCAGTGCCGCCCGTTGGGGCTGGTGCAGGCGGCAGGCCCCGGGCCCCGAGCTGCAGGACAGGCAGCCGCCGCAGCCACCGACCGTCGAGCCGGCACAGCATATCGGAGCCAGGGCGGAGACCAGGACTCTAGCCTCACAGAGGAGCTGCGTACGCGTTTCGACCAAAGCGCCTGTGCATGCGCCGGCGACACCGAGGCGTAAAGTGCGTGCGCGCCCGTCCGCCCGTGACAACAATCGACCTTCCCCTTTAAGCCAATGACGTTTTCCGTCGCACTAGGAATGACGCAAGAGTAAGGGAAGTCCCGCCTTTCAGACACGGCAGTGGGCCGGCCTGCCGAAACAGGAACCTTTCTCGCTGTTGGCGTGAAGCTCTTTAAAGGCGGGACTGAAATTGCAGAGCCGAGTGGAGGTCCTCCTGCCCTGAGCGTGGAGGGATGTTCCCTAGGAAGCTCCCGCGTTGTAAAGTCAGTCTTCAGCATGTGCCGTTCCATCCTTTTTTTCCTCTAAACTAATCGTGTCATTTGTGGTGGAATTTCAAGCTTTGATGGGTGGTTTTTGTAACCAGAAAGTGGGCCCTAACCTCCTTTCTTGCACACCGATTGCTTCCGCCAGGGATTATTATGGGTTACACTGCCTAAAAGTCAACACGTTGCTGAAAGCCGAGGTTCCTTATGGGATTGGAGAGCAGCGTGTGTTTCTCGCTGACCCTGAGTTTTAATCATCATTCTTTAGGCACTGGGCATAGTTAAGTCTGTCCTCTAAAGATTTAACTGGGCCATATGTACAAGGTAGTAGGTTCAACCTCACCTGCAAACTGAGTTTTCCTAAATGTTTTATTTTCCATTAGTAGTAGGACCAAAGATCTTACATTAAGGGTAAGGAACCATCACCTGATTTAAGGGTATGGTCACTGGCAGCACGATCAATTCTTAACTAGAGTTAGCATGTAGCCTTTGTAAGCTTTAAAGAGCTTGAACAGCAGCATTGGGTATCTTCTGGTTAGAAGGAATATGGCCGAATCTTAGGGGACTATATAGTTTTCACTTTTGTGTTTCTGGCAACAGCAAACGGACTGGAATGATACGGAGTAGTTACTTCATAGTAGGGTCGCCCCTAGACCAAGAGGCCAAAATGTGTTGAGCGAAATCAAATGTCGGATTTTTAAGAAGGCCTCCAATTGATTCTTGGCCAATACACCTCATGCGCAGCCACCACCCGTCAATGGAGGCTTGCATGTTGCTATTATGTTGAACAGGTTTCAGCAGAGCCTCCAGACTGAGACGGACTAGAAAGACAGACCTGGTGATCTACTTCTAAAAATTAGCCAGTGAAAATCCTATGGATCATAACTGACTGATCCTTAACCCATCATTGGGGATGGTGCAGAACAGGGCAGCATTTCATTCGGTTGTGCATGCGGTCGTCATGAGTTGGGGGTCAACCTAATGGCAGCTAACAACATTGAACTAATGTAAAACTGCAGCTACTGTTCTGCCTCTCTATGCAAGGGAGCAGATACTCTGTTCTCTAGCTTCTGGAAGTCAACCTCCTTCAAAACTGACTGGTACATACATATATTTTAAAATGTGTGTTTAAACACACACACCACTATATGCTATAAACAGACTTTCTCCTTTTTAAAAGAAAAAGTCCATCAATCTATTTACCTATCCATTTAAGTTAAAAAACAATCTGCAGCTACTGACTACTGCGCTAACATGGAAATTCAGTTTTAAATGGAAATTCCTTCGCCTAAAGATCGTTAAAACAGTAATGAAGTGATTCTCTGCTGCAGGATTCCCCCATTTCCAGAGAACTGATGACATTGAGAGCTGGCCCTTCCACAGTGGCATGTAGCCTAGAGAATGACTGCTTAATATCCAGAAGGAGGGGAGTTGATTAAAGAAAAAAAAAAAACCTAAAAATCTCTGTATTTACGGATTCACTGTTCATATAATTTAAACCAAGAGTTTTCAAACTATTCCTCAGATCCTAAGACTCATATTGTGGGTCAAGACTGGGACCTCCTCTAAAAATGTAGGTCCATCTTTTCTGCTATATATTTAAGTGACATACTCTAACTGAAAAAAGTATTCCATTGTTTTAAAAGTTTGAACAGTGTGATCTAAATAAAATGATGAATATTTAATTTCTGCTAATATTATACACACGCACACATACACACACATTTCTTAATCCATATAATGGGGATAATCAGAACTTGGTAGAGAATGTTGGGAAAAGCATTATCAATGATAAAACCCATTACAATAGTAAATTGTTATCACTAATGTGTATGTACTGGTCATCCAACATTGTGGTATCTTTTATCTTTTAAGTTGCAGAGTACAATATAAAATGACCTATATATACTGAGCAAACCACCCAATTTAAAATCATTTATATGTAAACCCTAACAACTTGCAAATGAACTCGTGCAACACACTCTTTTAAAATGTTTGATATTTATAATTGGCATATTCCTGTCTTTAATGTTATATCAACACAACAGTTTATTGTCTCAACTTTATTTAAGCTTCTTAACAATGGACTGTATATTACATTTCTCTTTCTGCAGCCTCTGAAATTCTTATCCATTGTGGTGCCCTTGAAATTTGAATACAGGCTATTATTATCACATACAGTCATTTAGATTTCTCATTTCCGAAATACGCCTTTTGAAATGTTTGATAAAAGAAACTTTAAAAGATAAATTATTTTCATGAGTAGTTCTTTAAGTAATCCCTGGAATCAGATTTAGGTTTAATTTCTTTTTCTTAATTTTTTTAAGGCATTACTTTTCAAAACCAAAGTCACCTAGTGTAGAATTAGCATTTTTTATTCCTCTTTGTTAAAAACATCCTCTAATATAATTTTTATCATCATTGGTTCTTAAGTATTGAACATGCACAGTTGGCTTTTCTTTTTCAAGTGTGAATTCATATAAAGATGGAAGTCTAATATGAAACCCAGCTGTTAGTCCCATACTCCAACTGTAGCATGATAAAGGAATTCTTATTTATGTCAAGGCCACAGTGGCGTTTTTCTCTATATTCACTTACCCAAAGTACATATTTTGTAATCAAGACATATAGTAATATTAAAGCACTAATAATATTCTCATCTTAAGTTCCATTCACCTGACTTAACCAAGTGTTGTGGCTTGTTTAAGCAAGCATTTATTAATGAGATGTATATTTGCAAAGAGATTCAGGAGCATCCAGAATTCACAAAGTATACCAAATTATTAAAAGTGTAAGACATGATTCATTTATCTAAAAATTGGGAAACTGGAATACCGAATCTCTATATTATAGTAACTAACAACAGTGAATTGTCTTTTGAGATTTAATCTTTTAAAGTAATTCTGATTTAAAATTTTGTTACTTAATGTTTTACTATGCATAAAGTGGTCTGTAATGCCAGATCTGTGGGACTGTTTCTGAAAAACATCAGAGTGAAAATAGGTTGAATAAATCAAGGATATGAAGAGGTTTTATCATCTTGAGTTTCCCTGTTTATTCCAACACTTTGTACTGTTATAAGAATAAAGTGAGTAATATGGTGTGACAAATAATTTTGATGAAATTATATTTAGGTAATTTGAGTCTAAAGAAAGAAGGAATACTATTTGTGTGACGAACAAGACAATTAATAAGCTATTTACCTTTTTTTCCTGAGGAGAAAATTAGCTATGAAGTAAGCACAGTAATTTACCAAAAATAATTTTAATTTACAGTAATGGAAACAGATGAGGAAAACTTCACATAAATACTAAAATCAGTTTTTTGTGAATAAAAATATATTTGATAAAAAGGAATGAGAAAGGGATATTTTTGAGACTGGTAAACAAAATCATCTCTAAAATGGGATGGTTGGTATAAACAGATTACATAATAATTGAGATATTATCTGTTTCAGTGTTTAAGGTATGAACTAACCCAAGTGTTACTTTCAAGAGTTAAGTCACTTCTTAAAAGAATGAGAGGAAAGAAATACATCATGTAGTCTGCATATACACATACCACATATTTTCAAAAAGGAAATAAAAAAGACCTGCGCGGTCTCAAAATATTGTGTTCTTTTTTTATTGTTCAAATAAAAATGCACTGTATTACACCTGAAATATAAAAAAATGTATCTGGAAAATGTTGCTAGTACAGACTTCTAAAACCATGGTATTGTATTTAACAAGTCTCATTTCCCCAAACTAAATATGGGGCATTCCAATCTATATTCCCCTACCCACAGTTTTAATTTAAAATCAAGAAAATATAGGGTTTTTTTGTTTGTTTTTTCCCTTCTTGGTAGTCTTGTTGGTAAGACACCTCTTCGTAAGAAATTCAGTTTTGTTCAACAACAACACTTGTATGTTGTAATAAATACTGAAGAACATCTGTTCTCCAACAGGATTCTTTTAAATAGAAAATAACCCTAGTTAACAGAGGAAAGAATTAAGCAAAAAAAAATAGGATACTGACAAAAGCCATATATAAAATTCTCTGTTAAAGAGCAGTCTACCTCTTTTTTCTTAGTAAAGTGCTATACTTTTATTTCATAGCTTTATTTATAAGATCATTTAGTTTTTCCTTTAAATTTGGCATCACAGACAAGTGGAAAAACAAAAATTATATACTTTAAGACCACCTCCTAAATTAAAAGATATGAATGTGTTGTTTAGAAACCTTGGATACATTTGAGGAATCATCTTTTTACTCTTTCCTCAGGCTACCAGAGTAAATAAATTATTTCATTTACTTGATCAGCCAAGGAACAATAGTTAATAATGTCAACTCTGGGTGATTTAACCTGAATTTTAGTTATTGTTTATGTTTTACTAATGTGGAATTAGAGTCTAATAAAAATTTTAAAAAAAGACAAATTGATATAAGCATTATCTCACTTTTATAGTTATTTTCTTTTACATTTCAACCATATTCTTTTTCCATATGAGACAGGATAGGACACATATTCTTCTTGGATACGTTACTGTTTTATTGTTTCAAGTGGATAGAATATATAAATCTCACTGAGTAGTTTAGTGTGGCCCTTTATCTTATATAAACAGCTTAAATGGAGACTTTGTATTATAATCATGTATTCATGTTATCATAAATTGTCTTATTGACAAATGCAAAATCTCTTTTACTAGGCCAAGTTGGCTGCTGATCCTTTTCACTAATAATATACATGTGTAGGTAACAAGAAGTCTCTAAGATTGGAAATAAAAGAAATTTAGATTCTTTCCACCAAGTTACTAAAAACTGGAATTTTTATGCTGACATTTGATTACTGGAAAGCCAATGTTAAGAATCTATATTATCCAATATAAAATGTTACACTGAATTAATCTATTAAGAGGTTCTGTAGTAGATATGCTCACTGGGAACCAGAAGTGGCTTTTGAAACTTTCAGTCTAAATGTTTTAAGGTAAGAAGATGATGAATGTGCTCTCTCTGTAGCAGCCATTATAGTGAAAATCTTTACAGAATTGTTTCACTATCAGCAAGAGACTTTTACTGGTAGTAGTGGTAAAGGTAAAGAGAGAAGAAAGAGCTGAAGAAAGAAGTGTGTATTATGTTTAAAGTGTAAAAAGGTAAAAGACACAGGGAAAAGTGAGAAATTTCTTGTGTGTGTGCCTTGCTAAAAACATACCCAAAAGAGAGCAAGTTGAATATTTTAGAAACCAACATAGGGAAACACCCACTGATAATGCCCATTTTTTTTACTTTATACTTAAATTACACAAGTAGAAAAGTTATGCTTATTAATAGTTTAATGTATGAAGGAAACATCCAGATTTCTGAATATGAAGGTACATATCTCACATTAATTTAAGTCTACATAAAGTAGAGCCTCTATACTGACATACTGAAATTTACTTTCTGCTTAGCCTTTTCTGTTTGTTATGTAAACAATTGTACATTTATTTGCCATTCTAAAACTTCAGGATCAAGTTTACATAATTTTGCTAAATTTCCGTGTTTGCTCAGAAGCAGTTTACAGTACTAAAACCAACCAGCCAAAGAACAGCTTCAACAGAAAGTTATGTCCAAAAGGGAAGAGGGAAAGAAAAAAAGAAAAATGATAAGAAAAATGCTAACTAAGGTAAAACGGATGACAATGGGGAATGGGCAGTCACAAATGTTCACAGAAAATAGGTCAGTTAGTAAGTTCTTCTGCAAAAAGCCTACACACTTCAGTCAAGCACATCAGTAGAATGATTTGGGAGCGTAAATTTTTTTCGGCCACTTGTGATTTCCTCTGAATGAAAAGGATCTGCAGGCTAACAAACTGATCTTCATCAGCCAAGCTGGTTCATATGCACACTATTCATGTGAGGTGCCCAGGGTCCAGTCCACACCTATGAATATAGAGCACGTATTTTATCAAATATGCCTTAAACATATATTTGATTAAAATAAAACTTTTAAAAACTAAGAAAGTCTCAGTCTCTATGGACTAAAATAGCTAAACCTTATTAAATTCACAATATACTAGGACATAATGGGAAAAACAATGATAAAACTACTTTTACCCGCTGTTTCCTACCTCTCTTCTCCTCATATACCTCAAACAGGATCTGATTTACCACCGTCCCCTTTTTTTAACCATTACCCAAGTACATATGGATTTATGGTTATGGAAAAACAATGAGTCAGGGGTATTAAACATATACCAAAATAAGCTAAAATAAATAACCAGTTTTGTGAATTTTCAGAGTTAATTATATATACTGTTTTGGCATTCAAAATACTTTTAATAAATAACCTCTAGATGGCCCTTTTTACACCACTACAAAATTTTGATGTATAAATTATATCATAATCACTTTGCAACTTAAAACCTTTTACTTACCATCCACTACCCAAAGGAATATATAAAACTTTTAATAATTTTAGCTCCAACCCATTTCTCTGCTATCATTTTTCACATCCATATAGCTGTATTTTAGCTATATCAAATTTCTCTCAATTTCCTCAACTTTTGATACGCACCATACTTTCTCACTACCACGATTTACCTGTATCCTATTTGTCATGGCATTTCACAGAACACCTAACAAATGTCGTTCACTGAATGAGCAGCCTTACCGTTTGAGGGCCATTATTTTCCGTGGAGCTGGAAACCATCTTAATCAGCGAGTTCCAAGAGGGGTCTGCAGCATGAGGGCCATTAAATATGGGTCCTCCAGCACCATCAGCGATCGGTGCTACTGGAGGAATCATTGCATTCCCATACACAGAAAAAGGCATACCCTTAAAAGGAAGAAAAAAAAAAAAAAAGATTACACATGTTCATGTCAGTGTTGACTTTTACTAATATAACTGATAGCCATAAAATTGATTTTTGCACCTTCACTTCCTTTTGGAAAACTGTAAGTCATCTGAGGAATGTAAAAATGACTTTCCAATATATGATTTCTTCTAACATTAGATTATAAATGAGCCTACTATATCCAAATTACTTTATCAAAAAACACTCTTTTAAATATTGGGCCTAAATCAGGATTTGTAAATATTTATATTTTGCGAGATTTTGGCCTGTTGCTGCATTCCTAAGCCTCAGCATCCATTTCATAAATGCTTTTCCACTTGGAAGTGAACGAAAACTAAGAATAAGAAAAACATTTAGAAATAATGAAAATGCCTATTTAAAGCAACATTACCCCAACTTTAGGGAAGTCCATGTATCCTGCAGGAACATGCTGATGGAATGTACCAGAAGGAGTTACAATTCCTGTACTATCTCGCTCCATTGCTTGATGCTGTGAAAACACTCCTGGATCAGACATTGGCCTATGAATCATAGGGTTTCCCATGGCAGGGTTACACCAGTCTACTTTGTCTGAGGGAAAACAGAGGCAGAAAAAAAGAAAACTGGTGATATTTAAAATCAAAGAACAGCAAATAAAATGTTTTATATATTTCTAATATTTTCCACATTGAATTGTGAATTCTTTGAGAATAATGACCTACTTTTATATATTTACTGCAGTATTTTTATGTTTATAGGTATATAGTAGCCTAACGAAGTAGCCTAAATACTTGTTGTTACAAAATAAAGAAAAAAAGCTAAGATAAAAGCTAAAGAGATTCAAAGGAAATATTAACATATCTTTAATATGACAAATAAAGAAAACATGCTTATATTAGACTATTTTCAGAAAACAAAGATAAATTCAATGGAAGATCACATGGGAACACAAAATTTCCTGAACTCTTAAATAAAAGTGATAAAATAGTCAAAACGGAGATATGAGCACAAATTTTTAAAAAGTGACTATGAATGTTAAATAATGTTTACAATATTATATGATTAAATGAATAAACTTAATTTCTAGAAAGTAGGATAACACATCATACCTTGATTGCCACCAATCCCTTCAAAGGACCAGATGCCACTATGCCCTACTGATGTGGACAAATTACTCCCAATAACAGATGGAGCTGAAGTTCCAGTTTGCCTGATACGAGCAGAACGTTCAGTCCCAATAGGGACTGGAACTTTCCTGTCCTGAGAAACATTGCTGGGCTTTTCTGACCCTAATGGTACTGATGATGGGGCAGGAGATGGTGCACGCACTCCAGCGGATACTGACTGTGCAGGGGAATCTGGAGAAAAGACATTTGAAATGGTATACATGTCATCTATAGAAGATGTAATTTTGTAAAAATAAATCTTAAATTTTGAAGACAAGTTAAATATGTATTCTCTGAGGGAAAATGAAATACAAGAATCATGTTTAAGAAGTATAACAATGAAATACAAAATAAAAATGTAAGTAATCAATTATGCACATTAAAATTTGATTAAAATCTCATGACCTCAAAGTCATTTTTTACTCTGGCTCACAATTTTTCCATTTAGTTAGTTACATGATAACAGGATGTGAAAATATCAATACCGCAAAAGCAGTTAACTATACATGTAATTATAAGGAGCCCTGATGGCGCAATGGTTAATTGCTTGGCTGCTAAGTGAAAGGTCAGTAGATCAAACCCACCAGCTGCTCTGAGGGAGAAAAGACCTGGCAATCTGCTCCTGAAAAATTATAGCCTAGAAAACCCTGTGAGGCAGTTCTGTTCTATCCTATGTTGCTATTAGCTGGAATTGACTCGATGGCACAAAACAACAAACATGCATGTAATTAAACTAATTAATATTTAAATGAATTAACCTATGACACTAAGGGAGTAAAATGTAGCAATAGGCAAGGAAAAGGCAATCTTTAAATTAAAAAAAAATGTTTAAGTCAGGACCTGACAGAACCTTTAATATGCTGATGAATACAAAGAGGAGGCTATTATGCCTCATTGCCCAACTTTTATCAGTTATATTTTGTGGGTATTCCACACACTTTCAAAAATGACAACCTCAACTTTATGTATCAAAACAAAGTCGGTTCTCAACATAGTCAATCTTGGTGCATTCATTCGTGATTCAATCCTTTTACATACTATTAAGTATAACAAAGAAAAAAAAAAAAATCTCTCCTGGCTACCACCAATGGCTACCCTGACAGGGAACAACAGAGAGTCCCTGATGGAGCAGGAGAAAGGTGGGGTGCAGAACTCAAATTCCAGTAAAAAGACCAGACTTAATGGTCTGACACTGGAGGAACCCCAGAAAGCATGGCCCCTGGATTCTCTATCAGCCCAGAACTAAAACAATTTCCGAGGCCAACTCTTCAGACAGGGATTGGACTGGACTGTGGGACGCAAAGTG